AGCTCAGGAGACATCCCAGAAAGCTCTCCTCCCACCTAGAGTTCTCTTATGTCCACGTTAGTGTCATTTGCCTCTAACGTGAAGACAGTGCTGGCCCAAATGTTCCTCTGGCGTTTAGTTAGATTAAGACCCAGCCGAAGAGAGCCAGCTGCATATTGATAAAATACCATATGAGACCTCCTTAAAAGAAAATAAGAAACAAAGAATGATAAAATTTCAGTATATGTAATAGATCTATGCTGGCACCTTATGAAAATCAATTTTTGAAAATAGATACCCATTTTCAAGGTAGCGGGGAACTTTCTATTAAAATAATTCCTTGATTAATGTTCCCAAGATGAGACTAGCTATGCCAGTTATCTGTTTCATGAGTTAGTGTTTCTCTATAGCAAAAAAAGGTGAGAGTTATACACATGTGTTAACGTATATACGGTGTAAGTTTATTCTTAATGTGTATGCAACCTAAGTGCACATGAGAACAATCATGAATGAATACAGAACTGGCTCTGAAGAACTGAGAATTGAATCCAACCTTGCTCTTGTGACTTTGGCCACATCCGTTAACGTTGTTCTCCATTGAAGAACTAGATATAATAGAGACTAAGGAACAAATATGATGCACATTTCTATACAGGAAGCAAGCGTGATATAAGTTTTCTACTCATACATCCAAAATAAAATTCACACATTTGAGAAGAACACAAGGGACTGCTCCCCTGGAAAAGATGCTTTAAATATATTTTAGAAACACCAGCAGGGGCAGAGCAGAATTCCAGTAATTTAGGACTTAATTGGCCTTGCCCAACAATTCACCCCCACGGACTGTTCTACCATGAGCCTTTGTAAAGCAGGGCTTTGGCACCTACCCAGACTTAGCTTTGAAGAGCCTGCGGAAGGCAACATGTTTGTGGGGGGCAGCGTTGAACCAGCCCTGGAGATACTTCCCAAGGCTGGGTTCCCTCCTGCCTTGAGTCCTTTGTGCTTTTGTAAGCTTTTGAATTACCATTTTGAACACAACATCTTTGAGAGTTACTTTGCTTTGTTAGTTCAGGAGCTCACAAATGGCCCCAACTGTGGGAAATCAAAAGCAAATGAGGAGAAGGAAGACTTTTACAGAGGAACACTTGTTCTGACTGTAGATTAGGTTCAGGACAAAGCAAGCAGAAAGAGGCAAGCATTTCAAGATCACATCAGCTTTGAAACTTCATGAAGGTCAGGGCAGCTTGCTGGCCAGAAAGGCTTTTACATCTGTTGATGTAACTGCCACTCTGAAAACAAATATTTTAGCATCTTGACTAAGTTACTTGAACTTTTTAAAGAATTGGCATTCAAAGAATACAATATGGTTTTGCAAATACATTCGAGATAAAAACAATACCGCAAACTCTCTTGGCACACTTCTCGACTGTTTTTGCAAGTACAAACTAAGGCGCAAACCTTGCCCCTGCCAGTGTTTCTCCTAAGTGAAAATGGTCGTGCCACAGGCATGATAAAGTGGCTACCACCCCACTCAGGAAACCACATCTCAATCACTGTAAGCAGGTGTGCAGCTGTTTGTCAGGGTAGTATGTCTGGGTATATTTATTTGAAAAAAAAAGGCAATATTTTCTAGAACGCAGTCGCATGCGAAGATAGAGTGAAATGGGAAAGTCGTTAGTGGTGCTCCTGTTAGTCAGGAGTAAGATACGAACAGGCACCACACCCACTGCCATGTAAAACTGTGTTGTAAGACACAGGGCAACCAGGCGAAATCCAGCTTCAAGTCAGAAGAATTATAAAGGAAAATGGAAGACCACCTCTAGCTTCACATCCATCCCTAAAAAGTGACACAGGAAGAAATGCAGAGCCTTTTAGAGAAAAATGAAACTAGATCTTGGCCTCACATATTACTACAGGAAAAATTCCCAGTGAACAGGAGAGGAAAGTGATAAGAAGGAAAACACACAAAGGCCACCTGTCAGTGCTGCATGTGTTCATCTGTGTCATGGAAAATGGAAAATATTCCAAAAGGCCCCACAGAGGAAACGCTGGGTGCCTTTCCTTCTGCGTGGCATGCCAAAGAAACTTGCACCCAGAATAAAGCCCACAGCAGAATTTAGCACAACCTTGTCATTTATATCACTGAGTTTCCAAAAGCAAAAAAAGGAAAGTAAGCTTTCTAGCCCACAGAAGAATGAACTGGCATAAGCAGTTTAACAGAGAAAGAAACGCAAAGGGCTCTGTGGCATAGAAACCAAAGTTCAAAGGAGCATGCAGATGTAAACAGCAGTGAGGTACCATTTCCATCTAGCAGGCTGGCAAAGGTGCCAAGTCTTCCCGCAAACTCTGTTGGCAAGGCTGGAGCATCATTCTTGCAAACATGTAGGAGTGCACATTGATGAACCCTTGGAAGAGTGGAACACAAAAATATTTCATCAAATTATAGACACATTCATCAAACTCTCCTAATACAAGGATAGAACTGTATGCCAAAGAAATTAATAAGAGACATAGGCATATTCATTTTTTTACATACTCTAAGAACAAATAATAGAAAAATCTTAGTGAGTCCTTAAAGGATGACCGACCACGATGCTCCCTGGAAGAACGTTTCTTTCTGCATGGCTGATTTATCTTTAGGATATGGAGCGGGGTCCTCAACACTGCCTGAGCCATGAGCAGCAAGCAGTTCTGCCCTATTCCCACTGGATACCACCAGCACTCCTTCCTTCAGTTATCAGAACAAAAACCGTCTCCAGACACTTGGGAACAATGGGCATCTTCTGTTCATTGTAATTGCTAATACGAAGTGAATCACGAGGTAGGGAAAATGTATATGGTATCACCACATTGACAAAGAGATGAGCGGAAAGGAGTGAGAAAAGAAGAAAGGGAGGGGAACTCAAAGAACACCAGGATTGTGTCAGAAAAACACAAGCGTCAACCTGAAGACAATCCTTCTGGCCAAGGAGAGACTGTGCAGTAAACATGAACGCTTCAACGAACAGGACAGTCAAATACGATCAAGCTAGTTAGGGCACCCAAGGGCGAATTCCTTCCCCTCCCTGTGCTAGAAACCCTACTATCAGCCTTGGGCTGAGTGTCAGCATGGTGCTCAGCCATAAAAGGCTCACCTGCATCACCCCTTACGATGGTCGGTGCGCAGTGAGTATCACAAAGGTGAGAGTGAAGGATGGGAGGAGCCAGCGGCTGGGCGGGGCTAGAGTGAACACTGCCTTCTGGGCACGACAACTGTGGGCACCCATGAATTCAGAGCAGCTGTGGTCACTCGGACAAGATCAAGCCAGTCAACATTCCAGCATGGAAAGGAGAGATAACAAACGAGAGAGGGATCATAGAACCGGAACATTAAACATTTTATGAATAGATTAGTCTTTAATGATCACCAGTGACTGTGGGCATCGTAGTATGAGAGACAAAACCAGATAGGGTACAGCTTCAGAAGAAGCATGTGTCACTCAAGAAGGATGTTTATAAAAGTAAGTAAAACCAGAAAGGAAATTGAACTGGAATCACACCATGCCTCCTAGACCGCTCTACCAATTTATAACAAATATGAGGACTTATCGTGTAGAGAAAAGCCACGGGGATGCTGCAAGCAAAATTCTGACCAGGAACTAAACAGAAAAAAAAAGTCTCTTCCACAGCAATAGTCAGCACGGGGAAGAGAATTGGGGAAATCTACAGAGGTAGAGGGAAATTCTGTAAGTTAAAATGTGAAGGTAACGGTGAATACGATGCTTGAACCTTTATATTGTGATTAAAAGAAGTTTATATGTGCATACACACAGCATATTTAACAGTGGAGAAATATTGGCATAGATTGCACATTTAACATTAAAGAATTCCTGGGGTTGCTTTTGTTTTTTGAGTTAGGGACAATAATGCTCTGATAGATATTTGTGCACATGACTTTATTTATTCTAGGATTCCCTGCCTGTTAGAAATGCATACTGAAATGATAGCTGTGATTTGCTTCAAAACAGTCTGGGTGGCAGGTGGGGATGATTAGAAGACAGTTAAAGCCACTGATTGCTGTCAAAGCTGAGTGATTAATGGTACACTTCTCTACCTGCCCAGAAGATTCCATAACAAGGGACCTCATGAGGAAGCAATGGTAGCTTCATACTGTAGCTATCTGAGCAAGCTTTTGGCTAGTCATCCCTCAAAGAACAAGCGCAGGGTGATGCTATGGCTACTGAGAAGCTCTGATAGCATCCAGCTCACCTCATCCCCGCCTTCCGCCTCCCTACCTAATCTTTATTTCTCCCCACCTTGTATTAATTGCTTTGTTCACTGTTGTAAAAGAAATACCTGGCGAAACAACTTAAAGGTTTATTTTTCCTTCTATGTTGAATGGATGCATTCCACCCAGACAGGAAAGCACAGCTGCAGGAGTCTCGGGTCACTAATTAGCTTGCTTTCGTCTCCTTCCTGTTGTATTCAATCTGTGTACCCCAGCACACAGGATGCTGCCACTAAAGTTCAAGATGTGTCTTCCATCATCAGTTAAACCTCTAGAAAAAAAAACTCAAAGCCGTATCTAGAAGATACACGTCTCCTAGGAGATTTCTGATGCAGTCAAAGCGACAAAGATTAATCCCTCCCTGCCCTGCTGTTGCTAGTCCGCCATAAGAAATGGCGTCTAGATAAAACTGTAGGTAACAGAAGCCTCCAAATGAAGGCCATCTTCTAATCATTCACATTGTGTCTCAGATTGGTCTGTGGAATTACCACGTCTCATGGCTACCTCAACTGTTCAATTATTAATGAGATTATAGATACAGTCATAACTGATGTTGCTGTTACTGTGAACTGATGGTTTATCGTCAGCTACCTACTGGCAGAAGGTTTTAATAAGAGAGTTTGCTCTATGTTTGGATTGCTGCTAAAAGCTAGGATGCAAGGATACAAAGAGAGCGGAAATAAAAGGGTGACCTCTTTCATTAGCAGTGAATGCGCTGGAGTTCCTTATCACTCTTGTCTTCCTTTGACTACAGGTATTTATCAAAGTGCTGGATAATAACGATAATGGCCCTGAATTCTCCCAGCCGCATTATGATGTGACCATTTCTGAGGATGTGCTTCCTGATACAGAGATACTGCAGATTGAGGCCACAGACAGAGACGAGAAGCATAAGCTGAGCTACACCATCCACAGCAGCATTGACGCCATCAGCATGAGGAAGTTCCGGATGGACCCCAACACGGGCATACTCTACACTGCCGAAAGGCTGGACCATGAGGCCCAGGACAAGCACATCCTCAACATAATGGTAGTACCAGACTCTTAGTTTTACTCTCCTGACAGAACCATTATCAGCCAGGGCATATATACCTCATCTTCAGAAAACCAGGGCCCTTAAAGTCTGTAAATCTAGCCTTTGCACTGTCAGGGAACATTCCGCTTTGCCTTTGTATTTCAGTCAAGGAGTAGCTCTTCTGACAAAGTAACTCCAAAGTTTTTGTCATCCTGAAATATTAGATTAATTCTGCAGATGTTGGCTACTCAGAAAATGCTGTTGATGGATGGTTTAGAGAAGAAAGCAACAGACAGTGTTCCCAACTCAGGGGGTTGTTTAGAGCCAGAAGATTGTGTGGGAAAGTTTGAAAGAAGCCCCTTGAGAAATTTTTCACAAGGGCAACTGTTCTCTCAACCCACATCTATTTATGATGTATTTCATTGGTGTTGGATCTATAGGTAATACTAGTGACCCCAAAAATAACTGAACATGCCTGCCTTCAAATTATCTAGAAGTGGCTTTGTATTTCAAGTGAGGTTTTTGGTAATCCATCCAGTGAATAAAAAGGTTAATGAGTGAGAATTATCATTGATTCCCTTATGGCCTATAATTTGTTCCTGTAATAAGCCCAGAACAACACTGGCATGCACAGCCTCTGTGTATCAGGACCCTCCTTATACTCCTGAAGAACAGGAAGGCTGGCCATGATTTAATCTCCTGCACTGAGTGAGTGTGAGATGGCTGAATCTATGAATTCCCAAGTCATCCACAAGAGTAACAACTTTTTCCTTCTCTGGAATCTTCTTGGACAAGAGGTAACTTGAGTGCCATGCCCTCAGCTGCAGTTGCCACTTAAGACCCCAAGAGACAGATGGGCAGTTCCCAGAGGCTGCCTGGTTCACTACTATGCCCATTCATTCACTCATTCATTCACTCATTCATTCATTCATTCACAAATATTCTTGAGCACATATTACACAGAAAGCAATCTCACAAGTACTGAGATAGACAAAGTCCTCACACTCTTTGGTCTAGTGTTCAATTCATTCAAAAACAACAAAAAAAATCTTCAAATAGAGTTCAGTTGTATTTTTTCTTGGGTGTGGATGACCAAGCTATAGAACTCCATCATGGCACACTGACCATGGTGATATTTACATGGTATTTTAGGAACAGAAGCCTCAGAGTGGTGAATAATTCCATTTTCATTTTTTCAGGTCTTTTCTGTTCATCCTTCCCTCAGCAAACTCAAAAATCATTTTGGTTGCCCACCATACATCATTTGTGTAGTTAGATGTTTAGAAGAAAGACCGCTTTAGGCCACCTTCTTCCAAGCCTCACCTGCTCATTCCTTCCATGTACAGTCATGAAATCACTTTTCTCCTTGAGAGTTCCTCTTGGATATGGCCCAATGTCTTCACATGGCTCTGGAGTGATGCAGCTTAAAACCAAACAAAGCAAGGGTATTAATTCAATTAACAATATATCAAATAATAAATAACAGAGCCACATGGATAAAAAATAGATTATTTATAAGCTTTTGCCATATGAAATTCAGGTTAATTTTAAAGTCATTAATCAAATTTGTCTGGAAAAATCACACTGAGGGGTCTTAGATGTTGTAGTTGAATGCATCTTCCTGGTGTTCAAGGTTCTCTAGTGGCTCTGAGCTCTGCTCCCTTGTCACCATCACCATCATATTATTCCTTCTCCTCTTCTCCTTGCTCTGTATTCCAGGAAGTTGAATGTTAGTTTATGTGCCTTTTTGCACTCACTATGGGGGCCTTTAACTGTATCCCATGCTGGCATTTAACTGCTTGGTATTATGCCTTTCTGTGGCTTGCCTGTATCACCCATTTCAAATATCTTAGTCTTCATGAAGGTAGAGACCGTCTAGTTTACTACCGAACCACTCTATGTATGCCATGAACCTAACATCACAGATAGCAATAAATGTTAGTTGAATGAATGAATGACTGTAACAATACTGTATCATTAATCCCACCCCTTAGAAGAATCTCGGTCTACCATTCCATGAATATAAGTATATAACATGAAATAAATGACTATGGAAACCAAATGAAGTAATTGGGTTTGTGGTACCCAGGTTATCACAGGCCAGGCATCCAGAGAAACAACAGAAATGATGCTGCCCTGCTCTCAGATGGCTCCTAATCTCAACCTCTCTCAATGCCCCCCCACCCCGTCTCCTGTCATACCACTGTTGAGTGCTTTGTAGTTGTACAAGCCTGGGTCAAGCACTTTGCATGCATGATCTCATTTTGTTTTCTCAACAAACATAGCCATGTGAGTTCTTTGAGATTTAAGTTTTTAGTCCTACTGCTTCTTATATTTTGCCTAAAGGTCAGAGATCAGGAATTTCCTTACCGAAGAAACTTGGCCCGGGTCATTGTGAACGTGGAGGATGCTAACGATCACAGCCCTTACTTTACCAATCCAATGTACGAAGCCTCGGTGTTCGAATCAGCTGCCCTGGGATCAGTTGTTCTACAAGTGACAGCTCTGGACAAAGACAAAGGGGAAAATGCAGAGCTCATATATTCCATAGAAGCAGGTGAGAGCTGCAGAGACCTCAGCACAAAGCATGACACCCTCCCTCCGCAGCACAGCCCGCCCCATGAACTCACCAACCTATTTGTGCAATGGTGTGTATAAAGTTCTTAGCCTTTCAATATTGGCAGCAAGGGAAGAGCTTCCTTCCTTGCATTCAATCTTGGAGTTTTCCGAAATGAAGAAAAGAAGTGTGTAATGAATTCAGTGTCTCAGACCCAGAAACCAGCAAACCATGGACTCAGACTGAAATAACCACAGTTGGGTTAACTTCCCAGTGGGTGGACTGAAGACTTCAGGAAGCCCGGCACACCACCATGAACACAAACACCTTGCCTAGGGTGGAGGCAGTCCGAGCAACAGAGCAGTTGGTGCCTATGGGACCTAAACTGTTTGCTTAACCAGACAGATAAATAAACGAGAGCGTGTGTCATAAATCTTGGTGTTTTTCCAAGGATGTTAACATCTGAAGAACAGTTTATAGACAGTTTGAAGGTAGATAGATAGAAACATTTATGACAGAGATGGAATATCTAAGCAAGAATAAAAAAACACGAAGCTAAAAATGACAAGTCTCCCTTATCTGGTGTGTCCCTCCCCATCTTGCCGTTTTTGAATATTCACGCTGCACGTTCCGAAGTGTTCTGTGGCCTGTCTGTGGTGAGCAATGCCAAGTGCACATTCTTTCCATGGCAGCAACGGGCCAGCTTCCTGCCCTTCTCTTAAATGTAGAGCTTTTGAATGAGCAGCTGAATTAAAATAAGCATGATAGGAAAGTCGCTTAGGAATAGAAATTTGAGAGAAAGCAAAACCAATAACATATAAAATCCCCTAGATTAAGTGCCATATTTTAAATGGGTCAGTGCTGCCATCCACACAGAAGGTGGTGCTCACTAATGGCCAGGCGCCCGCAGAGCTTCCCTACATGTTACTGCTGGGGTTTCCACAGACCTAGACCTACTTAGCAACTCTTGGTTACCCCAGAGTATTGTTATCGCACCAATAAGTTATCTTTGTTCTTCTAGATTACAAAGCAGGACACTAAGAAACGAATATGAACTATCACGCGAGCATGTTGCAGGCTCCCATCCTCAGCTGTTCTTCCTAAGGTCATCTAATCTCTTCCTTTCCTGTGTCATCCATAAACATCACCTCCTGTCACTGCGAGCGTCTGCGGGAAGGCTTCAGTTCTGCCCTTCTTATCATCTTAGGGATATTTATATCTGTATTATATTTATAAATTTACTACTTTCATTCCCGGGCTTCAAGTAATTTTTAAACTACTATTAGGTTCTCAAGGAACATAATAGTTACATCCCTGAAAATACAGTTTCCCTCACATTTTCCCTCCAGGACTGGAGCACGGAGCTCGATCATTGCTTTGACAACTGACTAAAGTACAAAAGGAAAGCTATTCCTTTAAAATATATCTTACATAGAAAACCCACTTTTCCAGAAAAATAAAGTTTCAAGAATAATAACTATCTAAAAAAAAGCTTTTAATTGTATGCATAAAAGTCTAATGAGAATTATACTGTATATGACAAACCTGTCGCAGTCATTCAGCCCCATCTAAACACACACACAGCTCAGCCCTGGGCCTGCCTGTCTCTCCCAAACACACAGCCCTACCCCAGGCCTACCTGTCCCTCACACAAAGCCCAACCCCCTACCTGGCCAGGCCTACCTGTCCCTCACACAAAGCCCAACCCCCTACCTGGCCTCCCCGCCCCACCCCTGCCTGATCCCAGGCCTGCCTGTTACACACATACACAGCCAGACCTCCAGCCTGCCTATCTCTGATACACACACAAACACAGACCCCAGGCCTGCCTGTCACACACATACAAACACGCACGCATGCACACAACACACACACACACACATATACCCTGGCCTGCCTGACCCTCATACACACACAGCCAAATCCCCTGGTTTGCCTGCCCCCTCCCCTCTCCACACACACAGTTAATCTCCAGGCCTGCCTGTCCATTACACACAGTGAGACCTGGGACCTGCAGGACCCTCATAGAGTGGCTGAGCAAGCTCCTTTAACATGAGGGAAAGAGAAGCAAGTGACGGGTGGTTGTATAAGAAAACTGGGTTTTATTAAACTTGACTCCCAAGCCTCAGATAAGCCAGATTTTGTTCTGTTTTCCAATGGGCTATAAAATTTCTATCTTTTGTCTGGCCTCAAAAGTCATACTGAAGCTTTAACTTTGGACTGAAACAAAGTCAGGGGTGGGGGCAGTGGCAAAGCTTTGAATCTTGTATAATAATCAATATTAATTTTCCAAAGATTCATGAGTAGAAGGAAAGGATAGGCAAGTAGCCAATTCAAGGGAAGGTCGATATATTGAAGAGGGAAAGGGCGGAGAGGCTCAGCCTGGACCTGACATGGGAGCACAGCACCCTGGAACGGTGTATCGTGTATCCACAGAGAAGAAACAGCAGGGGTATCAAGGCCAACTGGAGAGAAAACATGCCTTAGCATCATCCGTTGACCTAGACAGGCAGGGCTCGCCTTCTCACTGTGAAGTAGGACATTGACATCAGTGTGCATGGACATGAACTGTTAGCATCCTTTGGTCAGAGCTGTGCGCTTCTGCATCACATGGGGAGAACCACTGCTCGGATGACATGGATGCTGTTTCTACTCTAACTTTTCTTAGCTCACATGCCAGACATCTCACAGCAGCACCCATGCCTCCATTTCCCAGGAAACAGACCCCCGTTAGTGTCCAGGACAGTCTCCAGGATCATCACTCCTCTCTTCACCCAAAGCTCTCTAAGGCGAGCAAATAGCGTGACTACAGATTAGAGGAACTATCTCGTGCTTCTGATAGCTGCTTTTATGCCTGGGTCCGTGCCTGTGTGTATTCATACAGTACAGGGAAGGGATAAAAGAAAAGGATAAAGGGAGAGGAATTCTGAAAAATCCTTAAAACTTGAAAAGCAGGCAATGACTTAGAAGAATTCCCCACCTGACCAAAGTTACCTTTGGAGAAAGCCAGTTTTCATGTGAAAATGTAGCATGGCGCCCACATCCAAAGTCTACCAATGGTACAAGCTGAAAGCAAGCCACCTTGGCAGTATTCTGAAACCATTCCTACAGTGCTCCTTTCTAAAGAGTAAGACAAAATGCAGCCATATTCTGTACCAGTGTATATATACATATATATTATATTATATAACCATTTTATATTTACAGCTATAGCATACATGCATACACACAGGCAGAGGCAGATGCATTAGTGGAGGGACATGCCAACCCCAGCTATCCCTCTTCTCCTGGGTCCAGGAATGAGGAAACCCCACATATTCCAAGCAGAAGGGACTCCTCTGTAAGAGCTCTTATTTCCCAGCTCAGATGTGTATGCAATGCTATATTGTTGCTAGTAATGTTATTTTGGGTTGGGAAGCTACTGATCTGATCTAATTTTGTTAGGAACCATTTGGGATGCTTCTCGGTATCATAGAAAGAAAGTTCTCCTTTTGCTTTAACTCTCATCACTGAAAGGCTTCAATGACCCTCATGTAACTCACTCCCTCATTGGTCTCTGTCTTTCAGGAAACACGGGGAACACATTTAAGATTGAACCCGTCCTGGGCATCATCACCATCTCCAAAGAGCCAGACATGACAGCCATGGGTCAGTTTGTCCTGTCAGTTAAAGTCACAGACCAAGGCTCCCCACCAATGTCTGCCACAGCGATTGTGCGCGTCTCCATCAGTGTGTCTGATAACTCCCACCCCAAATTCACTCACCGAGACTACCAAGCTGAAGTCAATGAAAACGTTGATATTGGAACTTCTGTCATCCTCATCTCTGCCATCAGCCAGTCAACTCTCATTTACGAGGTCAAAGATGGAAACATCAATGGGGTCTTTACCATCAACCCATATTCTGGAGTCATCACCACTCGGAGAGCTCTGGATTACGAGCAGACCTCTGCCTATCAACTCATCATCCAGGCCACTAACATGGCAGGCATGGCTTCCAATGCCACTGTCAGCATTCAGATCGTGGATGAAAATGATAACCCCCCAGTGTTTCTCTTCTCACAGTACTCAGGCAGCCTGAGCGAGGCTGCGCCCATCAACAGCATCGTCAGGAGCCGAGACAACAGCCCACTGGTGATCCGAGCCACCGATGCTGACAGCAACCAGAATGCATTACTGGTGTATCAGATCGTGGAGTCCACAGCCAAGAAGTTCTTCACAGTGGACTCCAGCACAGGGGCTATCAGAACGATCGCCAGCCTAGACCAAGAGGCCATTGCACACTTCCATTTCCACGTGCATGTGAGAGACAGTGGGAGCCCCCAGCTGACTGCAGAGAGCCCTGTTGAAGTCAACATTGAGGTGAGAGACGTGAACGACAACCCGCCTGTGTTCACGCAGGCTGTGTTCGAGACTGTCTTACTTCTCCCCACCTACGTCGGTGTGGAGGTTCTGAAGGTGAGTGCCACAGACCCTGACTCTGAGGTACCCCCTGAACTGACATATAGCCTCATGGAAGGCAGTGTGGATCACTTTCTAATGGACCCAAATAGTGGAGTGCTCACCATAAAAAACAATAATCTCTCCAAAGACCATTACATGCTGATAGTCAAAGTATCCGATGGAAAGTTCTACAGCACTGCCATGGTCACTATCATGGTTAAAGAAGCCATGGACAGTGGCCTCCACTTCACACAAAGTTTCTATTCCACCTCCATCTCAGAGAACAGCACAAACATAACCAAAGTCGCTATTGTCAATGCAATTGGAAACCGCCTTAACGAGCCCTTGAAATACAGCATCTTAAACCCAGGAAATAAGTTCAAGATAAAATCTACCTCAGGAGTCATTCAGACCACAGGAGTACCCTTTGACCGCGAAGAACAGGAGTTGTATGAGTTGGTGGTGGAAGCCAGTCGTGAGCTAGACCACTTGCGTGTGGCGAGGGTGGTAGTCCGAGTCAACATCGAAGATGTGAACGACAACTCTCCTGTCTTCGTGGGCCTCCCTTACTATGCTGCTGTGCAAGTTGATGCTGAGCCAGGGACGCTGGTATACCGGGTGACAGCCATCGACAAAGATAAAGGTGCCAATGGAGAAGTGACCTATGTCTTGCAGGATGACTATGGCCACTTCGAAATTAACCCAAATTCAGGGAATGTGGTTTTAAAAGAAGCATTCAACGCAGACCTTGCCAACATTGACTATGGGGTCACCATCCTCGCCAAGGACGGTGGCAATCCAACTCTGTCCAACTCAGTGGAACTTCCCATCACTATTGTTAACAAAGCAATGCCCGTGTTTGATAAGCCCTTTTATACAGCATCAATCAATGAAGATGTCACAATGGACACTCCCATTCTCAGCATCAATGCCACCAGCCCGGAAGGCCAGGGCATCATATACCTCATCATTGACGGGGATCCCTTCCAACAGTTTAACATCGACTTTGATACGGGGGTCCTGAAAGTCATTAGTCCTTTGGATTATGAAGCCACATCCGTTTACAAGTTGACGGTGAGAGCCAGTGATGCTCTTACAGGGGCCAGGGCTGAAGTCACCGTGGAAGTGCTAGTGGATGACGTCAATGATAACCCTCCTGTTTTCGATCAGCCCACTTACAACACGACACTGTCTGAGGCGTCTCTCATCGGAACCCCAGTTCTGCAACTTGTCTCCACGGATGCGGATTCAGGAAACAACAAGGTGGTACATTATCAGATTGACCAGGACACCTACAATAGCACGGATTACTTTCACATCGATAGCTCCAGTGGCCTCATCCTGACAGCGAGGATGCTAGACCACGAGGTGGTGCAACACTGCACCTTGAGGGTCACAGCAACTGATAATGGTTTCCCTTCCCTGAGCACTGAAGTCCTGGTTCACATCTACATTTCTGACATCAACGACAACCCCCCGGTGTTTAATCAGCTCATTTATGAGTCCTATGTGAGTGAATTAGCCCCCCGGGGTCATTTTGTTACCTGTGTGCAAGCCTCAGATGCAGACAGCTCGGACTTTGACCGCTTGGAATACAGCATTTTATCTGGGAATGATCGGACCAGCTTTCTGATGGACAGCAAGAGTGGAGTCCTCACGCTGTCTAGCCACAGGAAGCAACGAATGGAGCCTTTGTACAGTCTCAATGTGTCTGTGTCCGATGGGCTGTTTACCAGCACTGCGCAGGTGCACATCAGAGTCCTGGGGGCAAACTTGTATAGCCCTGCCTTTTCACAAAGCACATATGTAGCTGAGGTGAGGGAGAATGCAGCTTCTGGGACAAAGGTCATTCATGTTCCAGCCACAGATGGGGATCCAGGAACATATGGACAGATCAGCTACTCCATCATCAATGACTTTGCCAAGGATAGATTCCTCATAGACAACAATGGACAGATCATCACAACAGAAAGACTGGACCGCGAAAACCCTCTGGAAGGCGATATTAGCATTTATCTGAGGGCCCTGGATGGTGGCGGCAGAACGACTTTCTGCACTGTGCGGGTGATTGTGGTGGACGAGAATGACAATGCCCCGCAGTTCATGACAGTGGAGTACAGGGCCAGTGTCAGGGCAGATGTCGGAAGGGGCCACCTAGTCACTCAAGTTCAAGCTTCAGATCCAGAAGATGGTGCAAATTCTAGGATTACTTATTCCCTCTACAGTGAGGCCTCAGTCTCAGTGGCTGACCTCTTGGAAATTGATCCTGATAACGGCTGGATGGTGACCAAAGGCAATTTTAACCAACTGAAAAATACGGTGCTGTCTTTCTTCGTGAAGGCAGTAGATGGTGGCATTCCCGTCAGGCACTCCCTCATCCCTGTCTACATCCATGTCCTGCCCCCTGAAATGTTCCTGCCTTCATTCACCCAGTCACAGTACTCCTTTGCCCTTGCAGAAGATACAGCCATTGGAAGCACAGTGGACACCCTGAGGATACTGCCCAATCAGAGTGTCCGGTTCAGCACGGTTAAAGGAGAACGGCCAGAGAATAACAGAGAGGGTGTCTTTATCATAGAACAAGAGACAGGTACTATCAAGCTCGACAAGCGCCTTGACCATGAAGTCAGCCCAGCTTTCCACTTCAAAGTAGCAGCTACTATACCCCTGGACAAGGTGGACATCGTATTCACCGTGGATGTAGAAGTTAAGGTCTTGGATCTGAACGACAACAGGCCAGTCTTTGAAACCCCAAGCTACGAGACGATCATAATGGAGGGGATGCCTGTCGGCACCAAGCTTGCCCAGGTGAGAGCCACAGACATGGATTGGGGAGCCAATGGGCAAGTCACTTACTCCCTACACTCAGATTCCCAGCTTGAGAAGGTAATGGAAGCATTCAGTATTGACAGCAACACTGGATGGATCAGTACACTGAAGGACCTGGACCATGAGACAGACCCTACCTTCTCCTTCTCTGTGGTGGCTTCTGACCTTGGAGAGGCTTTCTCTCTTTCTTCCATGGCTCTGGTCTCAGTCAAGGTGACAGATATCAATGACAATGCACCCGTCTTTGCTCATGAGGTGTACAGAGGGAAAGTGAAGGAGAGCGACCCCCCGGGAGAGGTGGTAGCTGTTCTCAGTACCTTGGACAGAGACACCTCCACCATAAACCGCCAAGTGAGCTACCACATTACAGGTAAGTCCCATCACCCAGTTTTGCCCTGTGGTCTGCTTACTGCAGAAAGGCAGGCTAGCTGAGGATAAGAGTGGTGGAACTTTCTGGTTCTGAAGGAGAAATCTGATTAGGTGGGGATTTTCAGGTGTTGGTTCTCCACTCAGCCATAGTCTACAATGCTCGTACAGGAGCTGGTACCGACCTTATTATCACCTCTTGTTGTTTTAAAAAGCAAAATATTTTAACTGAACAAATTAAAATAATAGCTCTTTTTAGTAGGAAGAGGTGTTTTTAAACTTTACTCCCCTCTGACCTTCTAATAATGATAGGAAACAGGAGGATGAAGCCACTAAGCTTTCTGCGCAGCTTCCTTCTGGTCATAGAAATATGTTGTCGTACACACATGAAAATTAGAAGTCTCAGTTTGACAGTTTGCTGAGAAATTCTAAGTTCATAACTTAGGACCAAAGGATATTTCTATTGACAGCCCTTTTTCCTTGGAATGCCTGCCTATCTTCCCTCCCAAAAAGTTGTTGTTCACCAGAAAAACCAAGATAGACAAATAAGATCATTGAGAGTGCACCTTAGGTGGGCCCTGAAAGTGCACAAAGTGTCACCACTGCTCTGTGAGGCTGCAGAATTCAGCCAGCGTGACAAGTCTGCCCTGCTCAGGAGCAGCTGTGGCGGATGACCCACTTGTAGAGATGAAGAGGAAGGGTTGACAGTGCCAGGAAAAGTCTTTCCTAAAAACCATTTGGGGCCTTGCAGCCAACACCTTGATGCTGAGACTTTTTGAGCCAGAACATAAGCCACGTGCCAAAAGATTTTAAATAATCCATCAATGCCTGTAGTCAGGTGGCTTTCACCTTAGAAAAACCACATTTTTCCGAGTGAAGAATGAATTAATTAGGATGCCCCCAGGACACGGATTCTGCTTAAGTCTGTTAGTGGAAAAGTTAATTAATCACCACAGAATAAGATCGTACCAGAGCAAACACCGAAAGCTCGAGAAGGCCATGCTTGCCTGAGGTTCTCCTTTGTGTCTTTTATGGAGCTTGCATTTCTCATGCAAGAACACTTCACGCATTTTGTGCTGTCTCTGAAACCTGGCCTCTTATTTCATTTTTTAAAAAAGTGTATTTCTGAAGTTAAAACACAAAGCATCTTGGTAAGGAAAGACAAAAAAGGCAAGGATTTTTGACTTACTTGTATTTTGTTTCTAGGGGAGGCACTCCAAGAGACGCTTTTGTACTAGAAAGAAAACCAGGCCTCAACTGTTTTTTCATAGTCTCTGAAGTATCAGTAGATGATTTAAAGGGCCATCCCATCAGCTTCTCTACAGTAATGAGCACAGCACAGCTTAAAGTCCCTCATACTATTAGCAGAGCCACCACCAACTGATTTTAATTAGATTTAAGCTTTACTCTTGATGTAGCACAAGTTGGCTATGCTGCCTCAGACTAACAAAGAAACATTAATCATTTTATGTAATAAAGGAACAGCGTGGCCTTGCTGGCATTGAAGGTGGTTAATAGAGAGGTGAAATTTGTGTGTGTGTGTGTGTGTGTGTGTGTGTGTGTGTGTGTGTGTGTGCTGAAATCATATTCAACTAAAGCACAATTGAATTCTAGCCAGTGGTAGCAGAAAGTGATATTACAGGGAGGACCTCCCAGGCCAGGGTTTCCCAGTCACCACCACCAGGGCTGAGCAAGTCTCTGAAGGGAGCTAGGCTGCTCTTTATAAAGGATAGGTTGTTTCACAACCACACCTGACCCCTCCCCTCCTGGGATTTCAGCAGTATATACTCATAACCATCCTATGATAACCAAACATGTCTACACATGATAAAAAGAAAATCCCTGTAGAAAGAGTGGAACCATTGCCCCCGATGAGCAATGTGACATCTAATATGACTGGGGTCCATTCATCCTGTGTCCTTCATTACAGTGAAGAGACCCTGGAACCAGTGTGATACTCAGAATTCTAGGACCAAATGCTTACCTTTTTATAAAAATAATAAAAAAGATTGATTTTTGAAGTGAGCCATTTCGACTCTTACAATAAAATAATAGTTTGAAATATATTTTCATATGTCCTGTTTGTTGTGCTCAGAGATGACTTTAGGTGTCTTTCTCTTCACTCGCTATGTGGCCCACTCTGGCTATGAACTCATTACCTCCCATCTCAGAGAGGCCTCACAGAGCTGGCATTACAGGCGCACACAGTCATACCGAGCTTCACATTAAAGTGGTAAACAGTATGTTTAAGGAAAAGAAAACCCGTGAATTGAACTGCTGCAGACTGTTCAGAGCGCCACCTAAGGGGCAGGAGGGAGAGATAAGGGGCAGGAGGGAGAGATACTGACTTCCAGGATGCCTGTGCAATCAAAACAAAAGTGTACCTTGTTGATGAATGTGGAATAGTAAACAGAGGTTAGCTGCTGGGTTCTTTTGTTAAAGTCTGACATAGGGTAGGGGTTTGGGCTACACGCAGAGGAACCCAAGCGATAGGGCTGTCTCAGCTCCTCAGTCAGTCAGGTCACCACCTATGGCCATTCTTCCCCTTTATATCCTGAGCTTCCCTGTGAAGCAGGAGGTTTTGTGGTCTCGTCTGCTGCTGAATCCCTGCCATCTCCAATAGTGGCCGAGCGCAGAGGATAAGTACTTACTGGATGCCCAATAAATGGCCTCCTCCCTCTGCATTCTGACTACTTCCTATTGTCTTTGGCTCAGCCTTTCTGGGTGTCAGAATTGGCATGATTTCCTGATTAGGGGGCAGAGGTCAAGTTTTCGTCCCTCTTCCCACCTGTGCCAAGCTTTAGTATCCATGCGGGTTCATGAATGGAAGCCGAATCTGTTTGGGCCATTGGTCTCCATCTCACCTCCTTTCCTCCCATTGTACAACTTTGCTCTCATCAATTTGAATGAATTACAATGCTTACCTTTAAACTGTTTCCTAAATGGCCTCTGGTTGGGACTCTTTTACTACTAGGAGTTTGGCCTGTGTGGTGCCAACTTTTCTCCCCAAACTCCAGTCCCTGTGAGAAGACCTCAGCTGTATGATAAAGCATTCATTAAAATATAGCTTAACAGAGCTAACTGCCTCTCCTTGATTGTATAATCAACTCAGCAGCTAATGAAATTGTCTTGCTGACAAGAACTACAGTGTAATACCGCCTCTCTTGAGACCAAACGGAAAGCCAATCGCATCATCCCGAGGAGCCAATTGATGGTGCACAGTTTGAATCTGATTATCTTTAAGGGAGACTAAACAAAAGATCATCCCCAGATTCTCTAAGAGGACTTCATTATCTCAGAAGTTTCTGTTTTACTTCTCACACAAGAAGAGTGTATAAATATCATGCTTTTTGTGCAGGAGAAATGAAGGGACTTGTCACTCTTTCCAGTATCATAAGGGTAGAGAGTTAGGAGCACTTGGATGCTCCTCCACAGGCTCTTATATGGGTGTCTACTCTGAGTCCTCAGAAGCTCTGTTTCCACCGCAGGAGGGAACCCCCGAGGACGGTTTGCCCTGGGCATGGTGCAGAATGAGTGGAAGGTTTATGTGAAGAGACCTCTGGATCGAGAGGAACAAGACATTTACTTCCTCAACATCACTGCCTCTGATGGACTCTTTGTCACACAGGCCATGGTGGAAGTGATTGTTAGTGACGTAAACGACAACAGCCCAGTGTGTGAGCAGGTGAGCTTCAGCGAGAAAACTGCGTCTTAGAAACCGACTTACTTCCTCCAAAATTAAGGCCAAACTCATTGCACATTTCTCCCTAAAGTTGGAGCAGCATCTGTTCTTGTCCATTGAACATAAGAAGGAAGGGAGCAGAATCTGGGATAAAATGTCTTCATTGTGAACGGAATCTAGATAACCAGAAAGATCATGAACCCAATCTCTATGCCACTCCCCCAATTAAACTGGAATAATGAGCCTTAAAGCTAACTTTTAAGAAATTCTTAAGGATTCTTTTTAATTAATTAATAGCCTCTTTCTAAATCACTGGATACGAGAAATGGACCCTATGTGGTGACTTGCCTGTTTGCAGATTACATAGCTCTTACTGGAGCCCAGCTGCCGAGTGAGGTCTCCACGTCCCCCGTGAAATATCCTTTTCATTGCTGTCCAAATGCACAATGCTTACACAAGAACTAGACTGCATTATTTTTCTGGCAAAATTAAATAATTGTTAATCTATTTCTTAACTGTGGACCAAGAGACAATATTTGTGCTCTGCATCTTAGAAAAGTGATGCATGTAGACTTAATCTCACACACTAAGGCCAGATGTTGCCCATGACTTTGTCAAGACTGAAAATGATCTCAGGAGCCCATTGGGTCTCAACAGAGAAATGGACAACTAGTGTCAGAGTGTCATGTCTCACAACGCAGTGATGCATCTGTTTCCTTCACCACTGTGTCCTTATCAGTCACATTATCCATGTACTTTACATACAGGGAGTGCTCAATACATATGTGTAGGTGCACATGCACAAAAATGTAAGGACATGAATATTGTTAAGTTTCATTGCACACTGAAATATGGTCTCAGGCAAAGAAAAAAAACCACAAAAGTTAAACCATATGAACAAATGCTTGAATGGTGGCTATAAAATTTGTACCACAGATAGTAACATTTCAGCATGGTGTAACACCATAATGGAAGATATTGTACCACAGGCAGTAATGATTCCTCCTGGTATAACACTCATGGAATATATTGTACTACAGGCAATAATGATTCAGCATGGTATAACACCGTCATGGAGGATATTGTACCACAGGCAGTAATGATTCAGCCTGGTGTAACATAGTCATGGAGAATATTGCACCACAGGTAATAATGATTGTCTCACTCTTGCTGACCTTTGCCCAGGTTGCATATTCAGCATCTCTTCCAGAAGACATTCCATCAAATCAACTCATCCTGAAGGTCAGTGCCAAGGATGCGGACATTGGATCCAATGGAGAGATACGATACTCACTCTATGGATCTGGAAACAATGAATTTTTTCTAGATCCAGAAAGTGGTAAGATGAAATTTATTCTTTGTGGAAATGCCATTATATATCCATGTTATAGTTTATCTTCCCGTGTGGTCTCATAAAGAGTAGACAGTTACTCAGCTAGAGCCTTGATATGAGGCTCTGATGTGCTAGACGCTATGAAATAAACAAGGAGTTCATAGTGTACTTGGGCACTCTGGGTCACAGGGACTTGATTTGGTTAGGGTCAGGACTTCCCTTTCCTCTCCTCCTCCTTTGCCTCCCTCCCTCCCTCCCTCCCTCTCTTCCTTCCATCTGTTTCCCCACATTTACTGGCATCAAATAAGCACACAGCTCTGAGAATTGACACCAGGTTCACAAAGTTTGAAGAGGAATTGCATCTCAAATGCTGGTCACCATGCAAACTAGGCGTGATGCTTAGTAAGGAAAGTTTCTTCATGGTGAAATCCCTTCGGTTCCCTTCTGGTTGTTATTAGCACTTTTGTCTGTTTTTTATTAGACATTCATGCCTAGTTTCTCCAAAGCTGTGAGCCCCCAAATGTCTTTGCATAAACAGACAAAAATTATAAGGTAAAAGGTTATGTAAACTAAAGTCAGATGCCTGAATTGAAGGTCAGAGCTGGTGGAAAAGTCATTTTCTGAGGCAGCAAATTATTTGTGTGTTGTGGACTGGGTGGTTCATCTAGCGGGAATTTTTAAATGAAGTGTAAAGAGCAAACAGCCTGCGTGGTTCCTCTGCTGTGTCCATCTCAGTGAGCTATGTCTTCGGAAACCACTGCCTTCCCCTCGTCTCCCGCCCACGGATCCTACCAGGAAGCAAGGACATAGTTGCATGAGAATATGCTCTTAGCTCTCTGGGCCCTATCAGAAGATAGACAACCTGCAACCTCAATAAGGAAAGGTGCAGGAAAGGACTGCCCAGAAGACACGCAATGGCAGCCGTGTAGGAATACCACAGAACTCACTGCTGTTCTGAGGAAAGGAGATGGGAAACCGAGGCAATACTCCAAGAGTTACAGCAGAAGACTGCAGGGTGCAGGAGTCAGAGCATGAGAGAAGGAAGAAGCATCATGAAATAGACCGTGCGGGGTCTGGGTATCCTCCTGATAACCCCCCAGGAGCTTTCTGAAAAAGAGGCAAATGACTCAGTGTGGCCTGTGCTGGAGAACTGGCTATATTCGGGAAGGAAACCGAGGAGGAACCCACTGATAACTCATGCAGCTTATTCCAAAGGCACCAATGTTATTTAAGAGGAGCAGAGACCCACAAGTCACACTTTGCGCTAGATAGCAACTACTCCGGCTTCTCGCTACACTTGCAGTTCTCTACGGACACTGAAGCACCCACAAAAGTAATTTCTACAGTTATGAATATGTACAAATATTCACATGAATCTGACCATAAAGGTAACAAAGAGGCTATTTTGGAGGAAGAAGGAGGCAAGAATGCGGGAGGTGATAAGAGGGTAATATGCAGGAAAGAACAGACAAATATTGCATATTTTCTCTCATGTGCAAAATCAGGTCCAACTCTACCTATAAGGGGTGACAGTAGAGGGAGACTGTCTGCAGTGGGGAAGGAAGGAGCGATGGTAATGAGGCATAAATATGAGCTAAGTCCATTAGAACCAGGTTATTTTGTAGACTCAGCTTGATCCCTTTGGTGCTAGAACCTATGTTCGTTGCTTTTCCAGACACTGTGGAAAAGACCCTTTCGAAAGCAATGTTCAGAGTTAGGGGTGAATTTGGCAGACAGCTCTAGGGTCCAGTCCATCATGATGAGGGTCCCTGCAGCAGCGGCATGGGGTAGCTAGTTGGTCACATTGCTTCCACAGTCAGGACACAGAAATGAATTCAGTACTCTGCTCACTCTCTCCATTTACACAGCTCCTGTATTTAAGATGGGCTCTTAGGCCTCAACCAGCATAATCCGAAAGTCTCTCATAGGAACTCCAATTTAGATAATCCCTCTTTAATCGGCCAGGAGCCTTGACTCCTATCGATTCTTGGTACGTCCTGCCAAACTGACAATCACTGATAATCATCACTCAAGACCTTTTTGTTAACCAGCCAGTTTGGGTGGTTTTACTTCTCTCTAAAAGATGGGGTAAAAACCGGCCTGTTTAGAAACAGGATATTATGCCCCTGAGTCTATGGGACATGGACACCGGGACAATTATACACCTAGAGCCATCTCTCTATGAGAGCTTCCCGCATTCACCAAAAGAAAAAACCTCAGGAAACTTGGTGAAAGGATTAATTAATCTGAAGGTCAAGTGGTTGGTTTTCCATTGAATCTAAAAGTTTGTGATATTTCCCTGATGCCTAAAAAATTGAATTTGCTGTACTTCTTCAATTTACAGGGCACTTAGGCCTTATGTCCTTGATATTTCTTGTGTTTAGAATTCTTCATACAATTGATTTTCTGCTTGAAAAGATCATTTTTGAAAAGCCATAACAAACATGCTGCTATTTCATTTCATAGGTGAGTTAAAAACCTTGGCCCTGTTGGACAGGGAGAGAATCCCAGTATACAACCTGATTGCCAGGGCCACTGATGGGGGCGGCCGCTTCTGCCACTCCAGTGTCCTCCTGCTCCTGGAAGATGTGAATGACAATCCTCCTGTGTTCTCCTCCAACCACTACACTGCCTGTGTCTACGAGAACACGGCCACGAAGGCTCTGCTGACCAGAGTGCAAGCAGTGGACCCTGATGTTGGTAAGTCAGTTCACCAGCCAGGCTCCTCCCACAATGGCACACTGTGCCTAGGAGTAGGTTCTAGAAGCTTCTCCTGCTAGAACTCGTAACAGTAAGCCAGGTTTTTACTGCTGAGCTGGTATGCCTCTAATGCAGGAAGAACCCCACCTGTTCTCTTCCTCCTTCTCCTTTTCCGTCCTCCTATAGAGTTCTAGAGAGAGAGCTAGGAATCCCTCAACCTTGTAATTAAGGATGTGGGGATAGTTTACAGGATCTGGTCTTTTGCTTTTGTGATTTTTATTTAAAAAAAAGAAAGAAAGAAAAACAGTAGCATTCTTATTTGCCTGTTCCTCTGAAGCATAGTTAAAACACTGTGTTGTACAGCAAGGAGAGTTCGTTTCCATTTCTAGGAAGACTCCTGTCACAGCCTCCGCTGAAATATGACAGTTTCCATCATACTGCCCCACGGTGCAAAGATCAATTGTTAAATGTGCTACCAGTCCAAAGTGGATTCTTTAAACTGGCGTTTTCCAGAGCCCCACCCCCATTATTTACAAACAGGCACCGCCGGCAGAGTGAGGGTGGAGAGAGAAGGAACAACTGGAACCAGAGTCACAAGTAAAGTTATGTTCAAACCCTTTTCTGTAATGAGATGAGGAGCTGGAAGGGGCTGGAGCTAATGGCGAGGTTGACCTAAGAGTGCATAAGTTATTTATAGGATGGAATGTAAACATGAAAGGGCACACAGAGCTGTAAATCAGAGGACCAGGAAATGACGGGGTGTGTCCATTCTGCTAAGCAGGTCTTTGTATAATTCACTGTCTTTCTGCTTAATTCTGAATTGACAGAAAAATTATTGGACTAATGGAAAAGCAAACGCATGATAATTAGCTGACAGACAACGTGGCACCCAGGGTCTCTGCATATTTCCCCTTCCAGAAATTAGAGGCTACACTTGAGTTATTGCTCTTCTCACATTAGCATAATTCTGAGGCCAAGATGAGTCCTCTAAAAGCATGGATATTATTGTGGAAAATGGCAAGCAGAAAAGAATGTTTATTAGTACATAATTATGTAATAACTGCAAATAATCTTTTTCAAATGAAGATTAGAAAACATTCTCTGGACTCTTATCTGGAGACTTTTGGGGAAAGAGGACAGAATTAAAGCTAATGAGTCTTTTAACAATTTAAAATTCGACTTGAGGATGTGTGATTAGCCTATAGATAAAATTTCAGAAGCTGAAAGCCTTGAATTCTGCCGTTCAGTCCCTTCATAAAGTGACCAGCTGTGTTCAAGCGGCCAGAGAGCAGACACACAAGTCTGGTCACTGCACATGCGATTGGACGATGTGTGGGTGGGATGGGGCGGGACTGAGAGATGTGGCCCCAGAGGTGATGTACATGATGAAGAACACAGTTAGCTATGTGTCCTTCTTCACATCTGTCTGGTCAGTTCACCAGGTTTGCAGATGGGGTAGGAGGGATATTTAAATTCTGATCGTTTATCCAGACAGTCCTGGAAGTCCTGGAAAGTCCTGGAAGAAGAAAAATCAAAGGATATTTATTATATCTTGATCTTCGCATTTTCCATGATAAGTAGAAGGCTTCTTCAAAGAGCCTCCCATGGAGACCAAGGAACTGAGTACCACAGACACCAATGTAGGAAATAGATGTGCTTGGCCATTGTGTCAACCTTAGGAAACTTCCTGTATGGTACCAGACTCTTGTTCATTTTCTCAAAAGAACCATGACAGGGCTGGCCAATGACTCAACAATTAAAAGTTCCTGTCACTTGCTCACTTTGGAAGCCTGAGTTCAAATCATGAAACACAAGCAAACATGGAAGGAGAGAACTTACTCCATGAAAGAAGTGTGGTAGACAGTGTAGAACAAATGGGCACCTTACCATTGCCTGTGCACCGAGCCGAGGAGGTGCTAGGGGGGCTGATCAGAGCTCACAGCAGAGTCTCTCCGGTGTCATTAGACAGTCTCCAAGTGTCATGACTGAGCACTTAAGACATGATCTTTGGTGGCCCCAATATCACACAGGTCTCCAGGGTAAATTTCTCTGTCTTTCCTAAAGTGAAAGATTAGAGCAAGCAGCATATGATGGTTATCAGGTGGTTGAGTCAGGGATTCACTACGCGGACCAATCAAATGTGTGGAAGCTGAGTTCACACTCAGCTATGAAGCTGAATCCAGCCGTCTAGTGTGTTTCGTTTCCTTTTACAGTGCCAAACAAAGCTTGATTTCGTTGTTATTACATAAAGGTCAGGTTCTTGTTGAATGTTTAATCTCTAGCACTTTAAAATAAATACCATAGCACTCAAAAGATCAGAATTCCAAGTGTTCGGGTCCTATCATGTGGTAATAGCTACAGTTGCTTGGTTGGTAGCCACAGACAGGGTCCCCACTAACTGATGATACCACCCAGTCACAGCTGCAACCTATTCTTGAGAAGAATAAAGAAACTTCTACCTTTCTTAAAGAAAATCATTCTGAAATAATTAATATTTAAATAATAATTTATTTAAATAAATAATAAGCAATAATTTATTATTTTAAAATAAAATAATTTGACATTTAAATAAATAATAAACAATAATTTAAACATTTAAAGAATAATATTTAAAATATTACTTACCAAAATCATATCATTTGTACCCTTTTGAGGTTGGCATGTTTTCTTTAAGCATAATTTGTTTCAGGTTCATCCAAGGTATTGAGTTGACTTCTCGTGATAAGTATGAATCCATTTAGCTCAGGAGACTTTTGTTAAGAACATTTCTTTAGCCGGGTGGTGGTGGCGCACACCTTTAATCCCAGCACTCAGGAGGCAGAGGCAGGTGGATCTCTGTGAGTTTGAGGCCAGCCTGAGCTACAGAATGAGTGCAAGAACAGGTTCCAAAGCCACAGAGCAACCCTGTCAGGGGAGAAGGGTGGATATTTCTTTACATGAAATGGTAAACCAGTTTTACTGGTGTCAGCTCATGAACTTCTGTGTCCTTATCAAATGCTTTTGTTGGAGTCTTGGGATTGATGTGTTTGCATTGAGATGCAGCTGTTGGAGGGAAGGGGGTACGTGTCACAAAGTGTGGACCACAGAGTCCTTGATGCCTTTACCAAGTAACCTTGAGGGAGCCTCTGCAGTGCCCCTCACCTTGGAGGATTCAGCCTCCTCAGACACCAGCGGGTCCAAGTGAACTCTGACAACCATGATTTGGCTGCATTACATACTTGGTCACTCTGCTTTGTTGAGAAATGACAAGATATTAATCCAAAATCTGATTCCATGAATTCCCACGTCCAGAAACTTTGCTATGAATCCTTACACCTTCACTCTTTAGGTTCTCATTTTAAACGTATTATTTATTTTAGTCAAGCAGGTCCTTCCAATGAATAATTTATAATGAACTAAAAATAAAGTCATAAGAATTTCTTCCATTAGGAATAAAATAAAGGAAGACAAGATAATTTCACACCCATTTAATGAATTCTAAGAAATAGCATGGTAACTATCTAGATTTTAGCATTAAGTTCTTAGTTTTCCTGTAAAATGAATATATTCTCAGCTTCATAAATAGTGACATGACTTCATGACCCCAAATTTATTAAAGTTTAATAATCTTTTCAGTAAAGACAAGGAAATTTTGGTCTTTTAGTGCATTATCTCTTGGGGTTAATATGTTAGATTTAGTAGACATTTAAACTATTAACAGTTCTTAGGAGCTCAGGGTTTGGTTTTTGTTGGGTTTTGCTTGTTTTGTTTTTCCTAAAGTCAAACAAAGCCAAATTTATTCAAAGAGAACAACTTTATTAGAATTCAAACAAAAGCACCAGGCAGGCAAGCTGTAAATCTCAGCCATTTCCTGGAGTAGAATGGGAAAGAGAAGAGGGCAAAACCACTATGCTGCTAAGTTAAGGCAGGATAGAGGTCAGCCCCCCAGGTTAGCAGGCAGTGTGCTGTGAGAAGGGCTCTGTAGAGGAGCAGTGAAGCCCAAAGCCTGTGAGAAAGCATGCTTAGGAAAGAGATAAGAAAAAGAAAAGCCATGGCTTACAAAGCACTGTGGTTGCATGCCTTAAAAAAAGAGAGACTATACTGGGGGACTATTCGGGTAGGGAAGAACACAGTAGCTAATTAAATGGATAGTTATTCTGCCCATCAGAATTTCATTTTGAGAGGGTTTTTTTTTTCCTATGAAAAGAAACACAGAGTGTGGGATCAAAACAAAAACACTGTGACCATTTTAGTCAGCAAGGCATGAAAACAGCGTGTGTGTTTGTGCAGAGGAAGCATGCTACAGTCCACGGTTCATGGAAATGCCAATTTCTAGATACTGAGATGTGGGGAGGAATGTTTTTCTTATTACTAATAAAGACTACAAAGAAAGGAATGGATCTAATGAGCCAGATGTTTCCTTCTTGCTCTGTAATCCCACAAGAACTGGAATTTGGGAAATCTCAGAAGTGCGCAGGCTCAGAGCACACTTCCAGTATTTTATTTCTACGTAGCCAATACTTAATGAGCAGCCAAGTAACAAGCACTGTAAATAGGACAGCAAGACTTTCCCAGATAAGTTATTTAGAAAGATATCCTCAAGCAATTCGATGGTCAATGAGCAAGTCATAAATATAGAGCCCCAGAATAAGTGGTACTTGGGAATAATCTTCAGTAAGAATAGACCAAGGAAGACATATGGACCATGAAGATGAAGCCATAAAGATGGAACTCTGTAAACCCAACTAAAGACCTGGGAAAACAGTCCAGGACGGAGAAAAAGAGCTGGGACCAGAAAATAGGGCAGGGTGTGTCTATGATCATTCAGGAAAGCTAGGGAACACGTACTCAATCAAAGAAAGAAAATGGATGAGCTTGTTTAAGAACTGGATAATCAATTCTGGGCGTGCGGAAGACTAACACAGCAGAGCATCTAAAGTGGATTAGAACAGGACACACGAGGGTATGAAAAAAACATCTTATAAAGGTATTGAGAAAGGTCACAGGACCAAAATGAGAAG